GGGAAATGTGACCTATTCATAATCCCCAAGGATACACCAGTTGGCACAGTTCAGGATGATTCCTTTCCATGCAGCAATGCACCAAAATAATGGGTGCAAAATGTAAATTATTCTGGAAGGCTAGAAGAATGAATATCTTTTCAGAGCAGAACTCTAAAAATGCCAGTGGATTTTCCAAAATAATATTGAGTTTCTACTTCCTGTTGTTTTTTAAATCCTTTGCAAACTTATTTTTTCGAATGTGAAGAACAGAAGGAATGGTTATGTGTTATCTGCTTAATTGCCAGTTAAAATAGATGATTTGCAGTGCAATATATTTTCAGCAAAGTGCTTATATAACATTTTTTTTGGTCAAACACATTTTGTGATAGGACATGTGTAGCCTTTGAGATAATGTTGTCTCCTGTTAACTAGCTGGATTTATCCTCTGTAGTCTTCTTGGCAAGAGTTTCAGAAGTGGTTTGCCATTGCCTTCTTCTTAGTGCTGAAAGAGATTGAATGGCTCAACATCATCAGTTAACTTTTTACTGAAGATAGACTAGTACTCACAGTCTCCTGGTTTCTACCTTGATGTTTTAAATCAGGGGTCTCCAACCTTGGCAACTTTAAGACTTGTGGACTTCAACTCCTAGAGCTCCTGAGAAACTCTTGGAGTTGAAGTCCACAAGTCTTAAAGTTGCCAAGGTTGGAGACCCCTGATTTAAATCACTATATCAAACTGGCTCTCAGAGAGGGAGAGACAGACAGAGAACAGTTCTTCCACCTTGCTGGTTATCCTCTTCTTTTCTGTGTTTCCCAGACTTCTCCCAAGAGCTAGATCTTTGCATTATGTGCCCAAAGTATGACAATTTGATCCTGGTTATTTGTGCTTCTAGTAAGACCTTTGGGTTGAATTGTTCAATGATTTATTTGTTTGTTTTCTTGGCTATTCTGGAGGTATTCTCAAGAGTTGTCTCTAACACCAAGGTTCAAAAATGTGAGTGCTGTTTCTATCCTGCTTCTTCAAAGTCCAACTTTAGCTCCCACAGAATGTCAAAAGAAGACTATTGTCTGCATTATTCTGATCTTTATAGATATAACGTGGCATCTGAGGCCTTCAGTAAGAGAGAGAGAGGGAGGGAGCGCATACTTTTTGAGTAACTACTGTGCATAGCTGAAGTGAATAAAAATTGCAGAGTGAAAAGAAGATAAAATATTAAAAAGAGAACATTGAAAATAAGTTATTTAAGGCACAAAATGATACCATCATACCAAATGATGCTAATCTATACCCTTTCACAAAATAATTGAGAATTAAGAGGTGAGGTTTTAAACATAAATTGTTAAGATATATTTTACTACATTAATGTAACTTTAGAGTCTAGAACAAGGGTCTTCTAACTAAGCAAGTTTAAGACTTGTGGATGTCAACTTGCAGAGTTCCTGAGCTAACATGATTGGAGGAAAAATTCTTGGAGTTGAAGAATTCTTGGAGTTGAAGAATTCTTGGAGTTGAAGTCCACAAGTCTTAAAGTTGTCAAGTTTGAAGACCCCTGGTCTAGAACATTCATGAATACCATTCCAAGTCAGACTCCTTGAAGTAACAAAATTAGTGACGTACAACCTATTGTTATGAAAGATAAAGACATGTCTGTAGCTGCAGTAGAAAGGCTACAAGCAGGCATCAGCTGCTAATACTAATACCCATAGTTACTGTCCTTAAAATATTCAAAACCTAGCAACATTGTTAGCTTTCAGCTGCCTCTATCCCAAATGGGCCTTAAAAATGAATCATTCATATATTTCTGTCAGGCACGGTTAGGTGGTCTTGAATTCCAATCCCATAATATATCTGTTTGTTAGCAGTGCTAGCTTTTCATGTGTTTTAGCATGAATAGGCATAAAGCTTTTAAAAGCGTTTAGTTACATAAATATGATAAGATGTAAATATTGTGTTTTTGTAATCACCACTACATGCGAATATAAAAGCAGTATTTCAGAAATAAGTATGCAGTAGGCTTTTGGGTGAGGTTTATTACTTTATGACAATCAAGACATAATAAATAATTGCTTTTAAATTATATAAGAAGTTAGAGGCTGATTTTGGAAAGCTAACTCCAAAACCATGTGGCAATTCTGCCTGAGTGTATTTTATTAATAGAAATGAAGACAATGAAAAATTTTGTGACACTTTAAAGACAAATGTATTTGGAAGTTTAAACCCATAATACGTTTTGGCTTTCTTTACTGATTTGTCTGTTTGTGGTGAAGAGGAGGTTTAAAAACTGGCCAAATGGATTCTGAATATGCTCTTGGTGCAAATAGATAAAAATCTAAGAAAGCTGATCATTATTTATACGCTGTATATAAAATAACTTTTTGCTGTTTGAAGAAGGAAATGTCAGAAAATTTTCATTCAAACAATTGAACTTGCTTAAAATAGCATGTTAGACCTTGACTCTAGAAAATTGTTATGTATAATTCAGAACCATTTTATTATCAGAATTAATCTATTCTGAATAACCAACCTATATTATTACAATACTTTAAATGGATAGACTTGCAGCACTTTGCTTTTAATTCTGTGAATTCAGCATTATGAATCTAATTTCATATTTCTATGTACATTTTCATAAATCATTCATTTTAGATGGGTATCAAATTTTAGTTAAGAGATAAAAAGGATGTGGAAATATATATTAAAAACAAATAAGGGGTTATGTTCACATAGGAGTTAATCTGTCAAACATGGATATGCACAGGCGGCTGTAAACCTTTTTCTCTGACTAGTTGTACTCCAGCTGATTAGATCCCAGTCTTCAACAAAGCACAGTTAACCTTGAGCCTTGCATGAATAATTAACCAAGTAGAAAATAAAGAATGTGAAAGTATCTTACTGGCAGAAAAGATCAGCTGACCTCTGTAAGCAAGTGTGCCTTGTTCAAGTGAACTACAGCCAGTTTAAATATTTGTTCAAATTCCATGATGCAGTATGTGTGTGCCTGTGGTGTACATGGACGCGGGTGTGTATGTATTTTTCTATAAAGCAGTAGAAGCTAGTGTTCTGTTCCCCACACATCAAGTATGGTAGCAAAGTAAACTCATTCAACTAAACATAAATGCAGCAACAGTGGCAACTTGCTGTACATAGCAACTGTCCAGTTATCTCAGAAGCCTCCCAAAAAATACACAAGAAAGTACTAATAAGCATGCTGTGGCCAGTGATATGGAATTGTGACAAGCTTGTAAGTCCACAAAACAGATGTGATTGTGAAGTGGAACTGCAATAATTTTTAAAGAATTGAGCGGAGGCAGACCTTCTGTAGAATTTCAGGACAAACCTAACAGCAGTGAGTATCTGTAGTTCAGGGTTGAATTGCAGAATACTTGATGCTTTCTGAACTTGGTTGCTTGATTGTAGATATTTCATTACCCAGCTAGTTAATATCATCAGTGCCTGAAACATTTGCAACCAAACAGCGAAGCTCAGAGAACAGCAAAAATTCCACACTGCAGAACAATCCGATAACCTACCAGCCTTATTATGTTATTTATTGTACGCAACAATTAGGAAAATGAGTCCAAATCCAAGATTATCCCTCTTTTGAGAGGGTTAGGCTAAAACTGGTTTTAAAATGCAACTCTGGACTCCTCCCTGTTCTTCTACCTTGTCACCTGCTGTTTGTAAGCCATACTAAAATCAGTTTGAAACCTATTCTTCCCAGTTAAGCATGTGCAAGTATTATGAATTTAATTGAATGGTGTGCAGGTTTCCTTTCTTTTTCAAACAGAGTCCTGGAACTATAGTTGCCATTTTTCATTGAAATCTGCTTTAAGAAGTCCAGTGGTGAAGTCTGCCCAACAATGAAGTCCAGTAGATAATCCTGTGTCTCCCCCCCCCCCCAGTGCCTGGGCACTTCCATTGGTCCTGATCCAATTAATTTTGAAAGTTAATCAGCTCAACTGCTGCTCCTGAAGAAACACCCCAAAATTAGAGCATTCTGCAGTGTTTCCCCTGGAACTGTGGAAGAGGTGGCAGGAATCCACTTGTTAGCCCACCTTGTGACTTTTGTCATATACCGTCCTTTTTTTTCTCCAGAAGTCAACATACAAGTAGTCCTTGACTTACCACCACAATTGAGCCCAACATTTCTGTTGTTAAGTGAGATATTTGTTAAATTTTGCCCCATTTGACAACCTTTCTTTCCTCTGTTGTTAAGTGAATCCTTCCTTGCCTCAGTTGTTAAATGAATCACTGCAGTTGATAAGTTAGTCACCTGGTCGTTAAGTGAATCTGGCTTCCCCATTGATTTCACTTGTCAGAAGGTCACAAAAGGTGACTGCAACCATCATAGCTATGAGTCAGTTGCCAAGCATCTGAATTTTGATACATGACCATGAAGATGCAATGGTCATAAGTGGGAAAAATGGTCATAAATCACTTTTTTCATTGCCATTGTAACTTTGAACAGTCACTAAAGGAACTGTTGTTAAGTAGAGGACTACCTACACTGTGATCCTGGGTGCTGTTCCTTCCCTCCCATCAGTCTCTTCTACCCCACAGGAATTGATGTCCTTTGCCCTTTTTTTTCCTACTGAACCATCTAGCGCTACTGACCAATCATAGACCAGGGAGGATTCCCTGAAGCCACCAGGCAGAAAGTGCAACTCCAAAGATTTAAAAGAAACAAATGATAATAACTTAATCTTTCCAAAGCAAAAGCAATGTTTTTGAAAGCGAGTATAGAAACATGCATTGCTTATTTTTCTTAAATGTCAGAAGCAGGAACATAATAAATGGATCCTTGTTACAGATTGAAATAAATAGTAGAGCTGATATGTGATATCATATCTGATATGTTCAGGAAACTACTTGTATCTCATCTCTGCAGCTTAGCGCAAGAAATGTACCTGTACTAAGCAAAAGCCATTCAGGTGTAATAAGATTTTTTTTGTAAAATGTTATTTTCTGTTATTTGTGCTTACTTTGGTATTGAACTAGATTTTGATTTTCCTTTCAGCCACAACCACCAAACTACCACATTTAAACATCCAGTGACTGGCCAGTTTTCCCCAGAAAACGTGGAGTTCATTTTACAAGAGGAGTAAGTAGATTGATTTGCCTTAGGCATCGAATAACTGTTTTTAACCTTTAATTAGTAGTTGAAATTCTACAATCTTATTCTATAACTACCTATTAAGTGTATGTTGTTGTTTCATTCCAATTCCTTATGAATGAATGCCGAAACAATTTTTTCCCATTGTACCACTTTTCCATCCCAGGCTCCACAAATAAAAATACTCTCCTCCATTAAAAAACTGAGGCTGAATTACATTGTACTGTGACAAGGGGAAAATTATTAGGTACATATGAATAATAATACACATATCATTTAATTAATTGAATGACAATGAACTTCATTTTAGTTTTTGTTCTAGCCCTTTTCAGTTCTTGGCAGTCTCCCACCACAGTTCTCATCATGCTATTCAAAGGCCCAATAAACCCCTCAGCCTGAAAAGGGTTGTATATTCCTTTCTGAAAAGTGCACAAGTTAGCAAGGAAAAAAGGCAGTCTTCAGAATATTGATTTGGGCTAAAACAAAGATAGAAGCAAAGAAAATGCAATTCTTTATGTAAAAAATTAAAATATTTTCCTCAGATACAAACACAAGAAAACAAAAGATGTTATAACACTTATTAGGTGTACTACATCATCTGTTTGAAAATGCTATGAACATAATATTTCATCCTTGTTTCAGTATTATTCATGTATATTTGCGATATTTAAAAAGGTTTTATACCTTTAACAAACAGATGCTTTGTAATTGTGGAAAACTAAATTTCGCATTTAAAAAAAGCTCCATATCCTTAAAATATATAATCTGTTAAATTGTTGAGTCCTGAAAAAAAACATTAAATTGAAGATAGATGGCAGTTAATCTTCTCTTGACTTGAGTGAAATCATGAAATTGATTGTCATGGTTTCACTTGCTGCTTTCTCCTGATAGTTTGGTCTTTTATAAGAGAAATAATGAACAATGACCCAATAACTGTTTTAGTGGCCTGTTTTTATGTATTCCTTGATTGAATATCAGTGACAACAATGGAAACATTCTGGACATCTCGTTTGTCAGACGTTTTATTTGGCTGTGTTAAGCTAGATAAGAATAGTGAGATTTCAGTGCAACAATACAGTATGTTATATTCCATGACTTCATTTAGCCATAACCCTAGATGGAAAATTCTATCATGTTGCTAATTTAAGTCTCATCTTTTCTTTCACGACCTGTGCTGTTGCTTGAAGATTTAAAATGCAATATGGCATGAGCGCTTTAATTTGGCAAAACAACAATAGAGGTCGAGGCATACATTCCATATTACAGTGACATTTATAAGCTACAGGATTTTCCTGTGGCAAAAAGACAATAAATTCAAATTAAAAAAGAACTAGGTTACAAGTTATACTCTTAAAAACACAATGTTATTCAGGTTCAAAAGGCAAAAGTAAAAGGTTTTTTTTTAAAGTAAAAGGCGAAGAAGGTGCTGGGCTAGAAACCAGGAGAGTTCTAGTCCCATTTTAGGTACAAGAAACCAGCTTCTCCAATTGATTTTGCTTTATTTTATTTATTTATTTATTTATTTGGTTTGTCAATTGCTTACAAGATAATAGGTATAAGTAAAAACATAGTTATTAATACATGGATACATATAAGAAAAATAAAAGAAACAATAGGACAGGGATGGTAGGCATGTTGGTGCGCTTATGCACGCCCCCTACAGATCTCTTAGGAAGGGGTGAGGTCAATAGTAGACAGTCTAAGGTTAAAGTTTTTGGGGTTTGGGGAAGAAACCACAGAGTCAGGTAGAGTATTCCAGACATTGACCACTCTGTTGCTGAAGTCGTATTTCCTGCAATCAAGTTTGGTGCGATTAACCTTGAGTTTGTATCTATTGTTTGCTCTTGTATTGTTATGGTTGAAGCTGAAGTATTCATTGACAGGTAGCACATTGCAATGTATGATTTTATATACTATCCTTAGATCAGACCAAAGGCGGCATAGTTCTAGGTTTTCTCGGTCTAGAATTTCAAGTCTGGTGGCATAAGGTATTCTGCAATGAGTAGAGGAGTAGAGAACTCTTCTTGTGAAATATTTCTGGACTTTCTTAACTCTGTTAATATGAGATACGTAATGTGGGTTCCAGACTGATGAGCTGTATTCGAGTATTGGTCTAGCAAATGTTTTGTATGCTTTAGTTAGTAGTGTAATATTATCAGAGAAAAAGCTACGTAAGATTAGGTTAACAGCTCTTAATGCCTTTTTGGCTATGTAGTTACAATGGGCTCTAGCACTTAGATCATTAGAGATGAGTACTCCAAGATTCTTGACAGAGTTTGGATCATCAACAAGGTCTTGACTATTCAGCCTGTATTTTATTTTCTGATTTTTTTTGCCAATATCTACGACAGAGCATTTATTTGTTGAGATTTGAAGTTGCCATTTGTTTGACCATTCTGATACACAGTCAAGGTCTTTTTGAAGGGTAGCAGTATTGTCTATGGTGTTGAATAGCTTTACATCATCAGCGAAGAGGACGCAGTTGCTCTTGATATGATCACAGAGGTCATTTATGTAGAGTATGAAGAGAGTTGGTCCTAGAACACTGCCTTGGGGGACACCACTGTTGAGAATTTGATAGGACGCTCCCAATTTTGACCATTTGTTGTCTGTTTGACAGGAATGCTTCTATCCAGTAATACAGGTGTCCAGAGATTCCGTAAGATTTTAGTTTTAGGAGTAGTTTGTTGTGTACCACTGAATCAAAGGCTTTACAGAAGTCTATGTAGATTGCATCTATTGCTTTGCCCTGATCGAGTTGTGTAGTCCATATGTTTTTGCAATGTAAGAGTTGCAGATTGCAGGATAGTTTTTTTTTTTTCTGAAACCAAATTGTTTATTAGAGAGTAGGTTGTTTGTCTCTAAGTGGAGCATGATGGATTGGTTAATAATTGATTCCATGACTTTACAGGTGACGCAGCATAAAGAGATTGGTCTGTAATTTTCAACTAGGCTGGGGTCTCCCTTTTTGAAGATGGGGATGACCGTGGCTTGTGACCATAGGTTTGGCAAGGAGCTGGTCGTGAAAGATTTTTCAAAGATTATGCTTAGAGGTTCTGCTATGGCAGTGGATAGCTTTTTTAATAAGTAGGCCCGTATTCCGTCCGGTCCAATAGATAGAGATGGTTTTAGATTGCGTAGTGCTTTTTCAATATTGTCTTCTGTAAAATCGATATGCTTGTGAGATGTCATCTGGGGTGACTGCAAATTGTGATCACATGACTATGCAAGATGCTGTAATCATTGTAAATGCAAGTCGTTTACCAAGTGCCAAAAATCACATGCAACCATGTGACCATGCATGTGACTTCGAGGACGGATCATAGATCACTTTTTCCAAGACCATCACAACTTTGAACCACTGTTCAGTGAACAGTTGTAAGTTGAGGACTATATTTATTGTGTTAATTCTAAAAAAAGAGAATGCGGATTTAGATTTTAGTGGGAAAGTTGTAATCTTTGCTCTTATGGCAGGCCACAAGATTACATTCCCAGGACTATACTTTCCTTTTTCAAAGCCAATTATGCAATTACGCAGCACCACCTGACTAAGCTTTTTTGGACCTTGGAAGGGCCAGGCCTGATTAGGATGTAAATATTAAGAGCATTAAGAGACTTTCAGAGGATTCGAGGTCTGTAAAATAAACAGGGAAGTTTAAAAAAAACATGCTGGAGAAACACAATAGCAAACCATTGTATTGCTGCTGAGAAAACTACATGGGTTGTAAGCCATCAGGAATAAAATTTGATTTGAAGGTTTTACCGTTTTTAATGATATGAATGATGTTTCATCTAGCTTAAGCTATTTATTGAACTGGTAAACTAGAAACACGGAACATTTGCAGAGTTAGTTCATCCTAGTTCCACAGTTTAAAATAAGATTTTAATAATCAATTCAATTGTGATTTCTTTCTTTCAGGCATAATTCACATATGTCCAAACATCAGATAAACCAAAGACCTTCAAGTATGGTCAGTGAAACATCTACTGCTGTAACTACATCCACTACAGATACAAAACTTGGATCCAAGGTAAATTTGAGTTTTTAATGAAATTTGAAAAATGAAGCATATTAAGAGAATGAGTCGTATTGGGGGGCATTGTGCTAACTGTACTATATTAAATCTGTAGAAGAAATTCATGGATCCGTAGAAGAAATTCATTAGATTTGAATTAGATGTATCCCTATTTTCTATGTTCTTAAAGATGTGTAGGGGGTTGATCCTAAGTATGCATTGCTCTTGTGATCTTGTGCTAAACATTGGTTTAAAATATACTTTGGTGCTTGGACTTACAGTTGATTCTTCTGGGCATTGTAATTTTATGAAACAAAATCCAAATCATTAGTCTTATAGGCATCTGTTATGTGGAGGGAAGCTTGACATAAATACTTCTAGAAAAACACTGTTTTATATCCCAGAGAGCAAATATTTTAAAGAAAATAATACAAAAATAAGAATAACTGTCCTATTATTGCAAGACACACACACACACACACACACACATATTTGTCTTGCATATATATATATATATACACACACAAGCCCAATTATAAATTCCAAAATAACTGGAAAATGTTCCCGAGAAAATTGTACTATAGAATCAAATTGCAGGTTATGGCATGTTTGTCTTTAGCTTGTTCTTTTTCATTTATGAACGAAAATTTATATCAGGGTTTTTGTCAAATGCGAGAAATCAGGAGAAAAGGCATTTCTAATGAATGCAGGTTTATTGCATGCTAAGACTCCCTGCAAGGTCAAAGCTAATGGGAAGTAAATAAGAGTCAACAAAATTCAAAGTGGCTTGGACTTCGATCTTTTCTGGGTGCAAAGGGATTCAAGATTGATGACATACTTGTTCCCTCCCCTCAAGCTCAGTCTGATCATCTCCTACAGCTTTTGCGTTCAAAGTGTCTTTGTTCTGATCTTAGTGAAACATTATTTTATAGATTCACATGAATATTAAAACAGAAAATTAGCAGTAATCTGAGTATAAATATATAAATATATGCAGATTCACTTAATTCACTGTGTAAACTAACTTAACAACTGCAGTGATTCACTTAACAACTGTGTCAAAAAAAGGTTGTAAAATGGAGTAAAATTCCCTTAGTGTCTTGCTTAGGAATGGAAAATTTGGGCTGAATTGTGATTGTAAGTTAAGGACTACCTGTACTGCAGTTTCTCTTTACTACCTTCCAATTTGCAGAGATCAAGCAATAGGATTTGAAGGACTGAAACGTCGTAAATTTGTATTTCAATAGTTCATTATTATAATGTTGTCAGATATTTGCTTCTGCTGATTTTTTTTTTTTAATACTTAATCAACTAGTAGTGTAAATTACACAGTCAAAAGTAAAATATAAGTTTTTGTATTATTCCACTGTTTCTTTGGAGTTAAGGGTTAGTCCTAAATATAGTTCGTACTTACTTATTTTGTATATGCTTTTTTTTAGTTAGTAAAATCTAGCAATAAAGTTCATAGCTTTGGGAAAAGGGATCAAGCTATAAGGAGAAACCCTAATATTCCTGTTGTGGTCAGAGGCTGGCTTCACAAACAAGTGAGTATTATAGTTTTTTTAAAAAAGTTGCTTTAATTTACAAAGAAAGGGGGGATAAAAGAAGAAATGAACTTAACAAGCAAATATTTTTTTAAAAGGAAATGAGAAAAGCATACTGTAATAACTATGAAGGAAGTCATTCAACCCATTTTTAAACACTTCAAGCACACTTAATCTTTCTGATCAATCTTTCTATTAACACCAGTAGAGTCAGTTCACATACATCATCAATCCAAAACTGTAAATTTGGGGTCATGTTGAAGGGTATCTTTTTTTTATTATTACACCCTATGTTGGTATAATCAAAATTCTTCATAGTAATAAATTCCACTTTGGGGATGTACTGTATAATTAAGTATATTCCTGCTGTTAAACCATGCTGATATTCATAATAATATTTTAACAAATTTATGGATATGAAATTACAGTGGAACAAAAGTGGGGCAAAGCATATCATATGAGGGTCTTCTTCATGTCTACTACATCTGTTTTAATCATTTCTAACAAGACACCAGGCTCTTCTTCCAGTGTGCTAATTTATTTATGCTAATTTCTAACTTTCCCTACCTTCTAGATAGAAGAACTGTAAAACATTCAGAAGTAGGCTTGATTATGATATGCTAGGGTAGCTGGCTAAGTTTTTTAGCACATTTTCATACATTAAAGAGGCACATAGTCATTCCAAATTTTATTTAGTATATTTCTGTGTTATTTTATTCTAAGTTTTTACCAGATACCTATTGTCATTTGTGTTTCAGGATAGCTCTGGAATGAGATTATGGAAAAGAAGGTGGTTTGTGCTAGCAGATTACTGTTTATTTTATTATAAAGGTTAGTGAATATAAATCTTTGTTTAAAAATATTTCTGCAACTGTGAAATCACCTTTTTATTTCCCACTTACCATATTTATCATATATGAAGCTTTTCCCTCAAATAGGCAACTGAACTTTCTGGTTTTTCTTTGAAGATCTTTTGCTACTCATCCAAGAAGCTTCTTCAGCTCTGGCTGGATGGTGGGGAAGAAGCAGCTTCATGGATGAGAAGTGAAACGTCTTCAAAGAAAAACCAGAAAGTCCAGTTGCCTCTTTAAAATCTACTTTTTGGACAACCATGATCTGGATGACTGGATGACATGATCTGGATGAAATATCCATAGATATTTCCCTCAAATACTTACCAATTAATTTAGGAAGCTGTGCTACATTCTTTAAGAATAAAAGACAGCTATTAAAAATAGAGTTACAAATGAATATAGTTATTATTAATGTAAGCCTGAGGAATGGCTTGAGAAGAATTCCTTTTCTAACAAATTTAACTTTTTGTAAAGTACAAACAGGGCTTCCTTCCTTAGTTTTTCCTTCCCTGCTCAGTCCCTTCCCTTTTCTTCATCCATTCCTTAATCCTCATTCATTTTTGCCTCTGCATTCTTCCTGCAGAACCAACAGAAATTAGGTGCATTGTTTTATTATTTTTTGTGAGAGTGGTTTAAAAGAGAAAGATTAGTATATTCAGATGTGAGTTCATTAATGTACAACATACTTTTCAGACAATTCATTTTAATTAGTTATTTATTTAATACTGGTTTTATTCTGGCCTTTCCCCTTTTTGGGACTGAGACTTTTAACAGTTTTAGATAAATGATTGATTATGTGGATACATACACACCAGGGGTGGGATTCAAATTTTTTCACTACCGGTTCTGTGGGCGTGGCTTGGTGGGCGTGGCAGGGGAAGGATACTATAAAATCTCCAGTCAGAGGTGGTATTTGTCGGTTCTCCGAACTACTACTCAAAATTTCCGCTACCGGTTCTCCAGAACTGGTCAGAACCTGCTGAATACCACCTCTGATATACACTGATGTGTAGATACAATGTGTACATATACACTGGTGTGTCATATATCCACATATCCTCTAAGGAATCTCCAAGATTGGCTTCTAGTTGGCAAGCCTGGGTTAACAAAGTGAGCACAAGATTTTTGCACAAGCAAAATACGAGACATGCTTATTATTATTTTTTCATCCACTCCTTATTTGGGCTTAGCCATTTGGAATTTAGCTTATCTTTTGTTTTGGTGAATATGATATTTGAGAGAAGATTAATGACTATTGCATTTTATATACATGCATTTCTGATACCACACTGACAGATTAAGTGTTGTATGTATTCCTCATATAGAGAAAGTAAAAAATTACTGTTTATTCAGGTGTCGCATACATCTTCACTAGCACTCTTTTTCTTTTGAATACTTTTAACCTTGTGAACAGTGTTGCATGGTTCCATTAAAGAATGAATAATTAGAGCAAACTGAAATGTACAAAGGCCTTGATCTTCTTATTTAAATGTGAAGTGGACACTTGATGCATCAGTTTGTATTCTTTACATATACTTCATTTCTCTCATACGTCAGCTGTGCAGTTTTATCTGAAAAATGGATGACAATAGTTTAATAAAATGCATACATGAATTAAAAGAGTAATCATTTAGTTATTGACATGATCAAGGAACTTCAATTGGTGTGAAACTCAGTAGGGGAGGGGAGACAATTTCAAGCTGAAAAATTACCATTCCATTCTCTGCTTTAAGTTTTGCAGGAAGAACTGAACACTGTTGGAAACAGAACATTGGACTATATTTTTTATATTGTTGGGAAGTAATTTACATCAAATTATATACTGCAATGTACTTGCAGTATATTTAGCAATATGGGCAGAAATTGGAATCTTCTTTATAAAGAGTTAGATAACACTTTATCCTAGCTGCCAATTCACTTTCTTTTTATTGGAAATGCAAAAGATTGAACTTAGGGCCTTCTGCACGCACACATGTGCTTCCCCACTATATTGTAACCACTCCTTAGTTTTTTAAAGTACTCACTGTCTCATCTGGAAGGTAGCATTTGAATCTAGTGAACATTTAGTAGCTTCTGTGCTATTGATCATGTGGTGAAAATATCATGTGTGTGTATTTTTGCTCAATCACTTCAATCCCAAATGACCCAGGTAAGTCCTTCACTTGCTATATTTAGGTTTTTTGACCACACCAGTTAGTTTTGCTGTAAACATATTGTGTTTTATTTTTTAAAATATTGAAACTTGATTATTTCTTTCATTCAAAAGACAGCAGAGAAGAATCTGTTCTTGGAAGTATACCATTGCCTAGTTATGTAATTTCACCTGTGGGACCTGAAGATCATATAAATCGCAAATATTCCTTTAAGGTAAATTTACTAATTGCAAACTATATGGTTTCTTTTAAGCAAGCAGATGTGTTGCATTTTGATATACATATATATTAGATTTAAAGATTATAGGTCTCCCTTTATATTTAATAGAAAAATAGAATTGAAGTATCTCTGGACCATTTCTTTTTCAATATAGTCTTGATATTTCCTTGAAAAGGTGTCATAAAAGAAGCTAGTTGGCTTTCTGATGCATTGGGATAGCTTGCAACGGAAACAATATCTGAAATGTCTTTAGGTAGATTTTGCAAAACAATAGGTTTTGGACTTTTATTTTCCTTGACTGGACCCTGAATTGAGCCAATCTGGAATGATTCCAACTGGCAAATTACATGATAAATTCTAATTCTATAGTTAGAGTAATGTATTTTTTAAACTTCATGGAGCATGTTTTTAAACAACAAGCTCATCAGATAAATAAGTTTTTGAAGTTCTGCAATAGTAGTAAAACTCCAAATTTTACCCTTGTTGCATATGCAACATTTTTTTTCCTGCTTGTCATCAGGAATGGGATTAGTTTTAACACAACTAGCATTAGTTTGACTGTATTTGGAAAATCATTTCAACCCATAGTTAAATTTAGGCTTTGTTGCTATTATTTAGTATACAATACTTAGTACTCTGCCTTAACATTAAAACCCAGAAACATATAATGCTGAGTTTTATAAGTACTATACATTAACTCTGAACTTATCTAATTCAGTGTTCTTATCTTGTTTGGTGTTCTTCAATACAAAAAGATTGAGTCCAAAAATGATTATAAAAAGTGGATGGAAGTATCAATTTCCTTTGAGTTAGAGTTTTTTTCAACTGTAAAAAGACACCTATCAGGAAAAAAAAATAACTTTGGGGATATAATACATTTTGTCTATTTGAAGTAAATTAATAATTCACATACGAGATGGTATATTGTGGTTGACAGTTTGTTTAACTAAAATCTAAATCAAATTAAAAATACATGCCATTCATATTTGTATTCTGCTTTCCAATAATAATTAGATGTTACATTATATATAATGGTAAAGATTTTGGCTGGGTGCTTTACAGTGGAAAAGAGATTTAAGATAGCTGCATGGCTATCTTCCTTTATTTTTTTCAGGAACTGTAATTAGCACCGTATGTGCTAATTTTATGTTACATAAACAATCATAAACCTAAACCACAGTTCTTCCAATTGCAAAGTAGTTTGTTGGTTTCATTATGTGTATGAAAAATGCTAACCCACAAACTGCACCCAAGTGGAAAGTAAGGCAGCAGTGCCTCCAGAAGAGATAATATATTTATTTATCTATAATATATTCCCACAAGTTTAATTACTATGGGTGGTTAATTAGGTGGTGTTACATTTTATCAGTGTGCATATTTTATAGATGGAAGAAAGTGCCATTGAACTACCTGTAATGAATACATAATTCTAACTTCCTCATAAAATATGTATGCTAAATTATACTCTAGAAAATTGTACATTATTGATTAGTAAAATAAATTACATGTTCCATTTTTCATGGATATAAGTGTTCAAATCACTCGTGATCCTGAAGATAAGAATAGAGATGGATGAATTAGCCTCCCTGACAGTTTGCCTAATGATATATACTGGTGAACCTTGAAACTAACAGTTTACAACAGTAAAATATAAGAACTAATACGTAATAAAAAGAAAGGCATGTGGCGGGCCCCATTCACAAAGTAATGTATCTGATGGGAGACTTGAAGGCAGCATTTTCTGCCACAGTACCTATCCTCTAATCCAAGGGTCTTCAAACTTGGCAAAGTTTAAGACTTGTGGACTTCAACTCCCAGAATTCCTGAGTTAACATGACTGGAGGAAGAATTCTGGAAGTTGAAGTCCACAAGTTTAAAGTTGTCAAGTTGAAGACCCCTGTTCTGGAAGATCATTGCTCCTGAGGTTGGGTTAACCCTCATCTTGCTGGTCTTCCAGAAAAGTCTGACATCTTGGCTTTTTGCCATCTGGTCTGGAGATCCCATGACATGGGAATCAGGCTGTATTGCTAGGGAAATGGAATGTACTCTCCTGCTGGTGTAGGATGTTGTTGTTTTTTATAATGGTTTTTAATTTTTTTTAATTGTTATGGTTTGGGTTACAGGCAGTCCTTGTTTTACAATCACTAAAATTTACACTGCTAAGTGAGGCATTTGTTAAGTGATTTCCCCCCCTCTTTTAAGACCTTTCTTGTCACAGTTGTTAAGTAAATCACTGTAGTTGTTAACTTAGTAACCCAGTTTGTTCAATGAATCAGGCTTTCCCATTGACTTTGCTGGTCAGAAGGTTGCAAAAGCTGATCACATGACCTCAGGACACTGCAGTTGTCATAAGTATGACCTAGTTGCCAAACATCTGAATTTTGATCATGTGACCTCAGGAATGCAATGGTGAAAAACAGTCATAAGTCACTTTGATCATGTGACCTCAAAGTGTGAAAAACAGTCATGAGTAACTTTTCCCAGTCCTGTTGTAACTTTGAACGGTCACTAAATGAACTGTTATAAGGCGAGGACTATCAGTATTTTGTTCTATTGTTTTGGTGTATTTAACTTTGTACATCACTTAGAGTTATTTATGTGAGTAGGACGGCTAAATTTATGAAATAAATAAAAACTAGATTGAATAAAAACAGAGCAGTCAATGAAAATAAAAACAGTTTAAAAACACAATATAACATAGTTCAAATTCAAACCTCACCTTCATTGGTCTCTGTGAACACTATATAGCTGCAACTCCCTACAAAATAATTCACTTTTCACTACTTTATTATGGAAGTATGTCTCTGTTGAAACAAGTCTCATTTCTAACGGGACATGAGAAGCCCTAACAGAGACACTTAACCTTGGACTCCCACTGATGTAAATTCTCACATAGTGAGTACAGATAATATCTCTAGCGGGGATGAACTCATTGGATAAGATAACTCTACTAGGAAGAAGTATTCCTGCAGATACCTAGGAGCCAAGCCGTTGAGGGTGTTAAAAGTCAAAATCAATATTTTGAATTGTATATGGAAACCGTAGATAGCCCATGCAGCACCTGCAGCATATGGATAACCTAGCTGTAGCAGCTTGCATTCTCCATCCTTCTACAGGCTGCATTCTGTACCAACTATAGTTTTGAAATAGTCTCTCAAGGTGACCTATTGGAGATTACATTGTAGCAGTCTATCTTAGGGGTCATATCGGCATGAATTTCAATTTCTACTGTATATAACAGAAGCATACTCATGCATTATAATTTGCTATTCATAGGAAGAAATGGTGGAATAAACAAATTAGTTTTCTTATTTCTTTGGTGGAAAATGTACTGTCTGAATCAGAGGTGGTATTCAGCAGGTTCTGACCAGTTCTGGAGAACTGATAGTGGAAATTTTGAGTAGTTTGGAGAACCGGCAAATACCTCCTCTGACTGGAGATTTTACAGTATCCTTCCCCTGCCATGCCCACCAAGCCACGCCCACAGAACCGGTAGTTAAAAAAAATTGAATCCCACCACTGGTCTGAATGAATCCATAAAAACAGTCTTTCAGATTGGTTGTAATTATGCAGTTCTTTTCTCTTTTTTATGTCCTGAGCTCAGTGTAATTTATTTGCCATTGTTGCATCCAAATCAGTATATGTATTAATCTAAATTATTCCATCTTTGAAGTCAAATACTTTGTCTAATACTTTGCATAATTCATAAAAATGTAGACAGTATTTTTCCAAATGTTTATTGTCACAACTACTATTTTCAGAAGTATTTATCCTTGTGTACTTGGGCTTTATTTCATTGATAATATTCCAATATATAGATTGATATTAAATATTTGTAGTGCAAACTCATATATTTACTTAGAAGTAAAACACAACAGGATTTATTCCTATTGTCTTTCCCAATGAAGTAAAACATGCAAGCTGTTATTCCCAATGGCTTTCCATTTAAAAATTAGATAATTTTTTAAATCCCAGATTTACTGTAAGCTAGCATGTCTAAAACACATTGCTAGTTTGAAAAATACCCCACTATTAACCCTACCTCCCTCCCTTCCTCCATCTGTCCATCCCTCCGTCCGTCCGTCCTTCCGTCCTTCCCTCCCTAAAATTAACTTTTTTTGTCTGCAAGAATCTATAGATACTAATATTTATTCTTTATTCTGTAGCCAGAAAGCCTAGAGCCTACATTACATAGAGTAATTTGTGTAATATTGGTTGGTGTCCTGTATTATGTATGAACACAATTAAAATAATATGTTGCACATTCCTTATCTTAGGAGACTCTGCACTGATTTTCCTTGGATGAATGGAAATCTTAAAGGCACATTGCTCGTAATTACATGGTCTTTCTGTGCTTTCTATTTAACTGTCTTCTCAACTGATTCCCTACTGTTTACATCCAGGACTATCAACTTGGTTATATTTTTAGAAATCCTGCTGTTTTTCAGTTCCAAGTGAGAAAAATTATGGAGGGTGGTATTTTAAATGAACTTCAGAAGAATTACGATTCCATATAGTCATTTTATAAAAAGGGTGAATGGCTGTGTCTAAGGGGTTGAACTTACACCAAATTCCTATTAATGATTTAGGCTTCCATCTTTTTAACTTTTTCAACTTTGTTCTTGTTCTGTTCTTATTGATGTGTGCTTTGGGTTTGTTCTCCATTTCTTCTTCTGTGCAATATGGGAAAGAGACTGCCTTTCCTTCTCCCTCTTTCCAGAATAAGGGCATCTGAATGCATGAATAGGTACCAAATATCATTTTTTTCATCCCTATTGTGAATGTGTATGTGATGTATTTAAAAATGGTTGTTAATTAGAACTATGTATCCCAATTTATGGCTCACCAAATTATTGTGTGTTTTGCTGTTACTGGTTGTCTCTGCACTTACAAATCATACCTATGTTGCTTATTTGGTGTGCTGCTAAGAGATAACTGGCTTATATTTAGACATTGCTGTTTTATGCTATCAGTTACACATGGTGGAGATAGTCTTTCTAGTGGCAGGGTTTGCTGATAACATGACATGTGTTGCTTACTCTAATTGTGTAAGCTTGCTTTCTTTTACCACCAAATGTGGATCTTGGCAAAGTTCTGCTTTCTGCTTTTTTAACTAGACTATTAATGAAAAGGCTGTTCTATAGACCCTCATCTGGAGGAAGTTGTGTGCTGCATTAAGAACCAGACAGTCTTTATTATGATTGTATAACCCATCTTAAAATTCAGAAAGCCCATAACCAAAACCAAGCATAATTTCTTTATTGTTACTAATACAAGCTGCAAATGGCTTATCAGATCAGTTATGGTTCCTTTGGTCATTCTCATAGTTACTTGGATAACTATGGTAATTCTAGGATATCCTGACCAGTACTGACCATGTTATTGTCACTAATTGCATAAAAAAATGAAGAGCTCACAGTTACAATGTCTATACTAAGGAAAACAGTATTTTTTAAAATAATTTCAACTAAATGAAAAGTAATCCACATTCTGATATTTTCAGTACTGATCTCTAAAAGTAGCAGTCACCAAATACTGTACTGCATGTAGTGGGAGATTTGATTCTAGTCAATAAATCTGCTATTATTATGATCATCATCATCATCTTTTGAAACTGCCCGCCTCCCTCACAGAAGGACTCTATGGTTTGGGATAGTTGTCTTTAAGAAGTTTTAGTGGTCTGCTAATGGCTAGATATGTTAATCTCAGCCATCAATAAACATAGAAAGATAAATTACATTTACATACCACTCAAAAGAGACAATAAAAAAGCTAAGAAGGAAACTAAAAGAGCAGAATACATATCTCCAGCAGTCTACACTCAGATAAGCAGGGATTAACACCAGACAAACAATCTAGCAGAAAACAATAACCTAATCAAAGAACTACCAAGGAGAAAAGCACACCTCAATATGGATAGAGCAAGCTACTGTATATAAACAGAGCGTAAAACTGACACTCACTACTAGCACTGACAATATTGCATAGTTCGGTAATAAAACATCTGCAAACAAACAACCAAGCTCAGACAGAATCCAGGAGCTCACAACAAAATAGATCAGAATCACCAACATCTACGTACTTCAACGATGTGCCCTGGTAAATTATATATATACATGTGTGAATAGATTTGCCTATAGAAGGTTAAGTGGAACTTGAGGCCTGAATATCTTGATTAGCATTTCTAGAATAGAATAGAGTAGAGTAGAGTAGAGTAGAGTAGAGTAGAGTAGAGTAGAGTAGAGTAGAGTAGAATAGAATAGAATAGAATAGAATAGAATAGAATAGAATAGAATAGAATAGAATAGAATAGAATAGAATAGAATAGAATAGAATAGAAGAATAGAATAGAATAGAATAGAATAGAATAGAATAGAATAGAATAGAATAGAATAGAAAAAATAGAATAGAATTTTTTATTGGCCAAGTGTGATTGGACACACAAGGAATTTGTCTTTGATGCATATGCTCTCAGTGTACATAAAAAGAAAAAAAATGAGGTGCTTTCTGTTCTTTGTTTTCATGTATATTTAAGCAACCTGAAAGTTGTGTTATATTTGTCAAAAAGATAAAAGTAGTTCCTTTTGTCATAGATTTTAACTGTGAATTCTGTCACTTGATAAGTGCTATTTGCTAGCTTTATTTATTTATCCACACATTCTCTTCTCATGCTAAAGCTCTGTGTTGGTTATAGTGTTTCTATATGCCTCTGTAACAAAACAGATTTAGTTGTGGTGTTGTTCCCTTCCTTGTCTTTACTAATGTGGCATGTATGTAGTAGCATCATAATTTGAACTAATTTGTATGATGTTCCTTCATGCTCTGATTCCCCCAAAATACTCTGTACTCTGTACTCTGCCCTGTGTTTCACTGAATGTTGTGGCTGTATGCAGCATGGCATATAAAGCAACTGTAATAAGAAGCAATATTTTTGTACTTAAGTTGCCCAAAATGTGATGTGATCCAAAGGGTGCTATCATTTTTAAAAACTGTATTTGCACAGTAAAATAGTGTATTCAAAGCAATCTTAACCACAGTAACAGTTTACAACTGTTTTATGTTTTTTAATAAAAACAGAAAAAAACTCTTTAAAATATTCATTCTAATAAAAATTGATAGTATTAAAGATTTGTAATTTTCTTCTTCTCAATATATTATTTACACAGCAATCTAATATTTATAATTTCAAAGAATGAGAAAACATAAACTCTGCCGCCCTATCAGTGTAATATTTGCTATCCATTTCCTTGAGATAAGGGAAATGTTATAAAATGTTAAGTTGCTGATACCAGAAACAATTCCAGATGTCATTGGAATTGTATGAAAAAAACACCAACTTACACGTTTATCCTATTACACAGAAATATCAGGTGCCGTACTGTAATGATTTTGATGGTACCACCTTATATTTTGTTATAGAGGCCATATTGATTATTTAAAACATTTTGCAATTTAAGTAGCTGCTGTACTTTCAAAAGCATGGTATTTTCTCCTTCGACATTGCTTGAAATATCTTTTGTCTCTCTCTCTCTCTGTTTGCAGGCTGTCCATACAGGCATGAGGGCTTATATTTATAATAAGAGTTCTGTTATTGGCTCTCAGGCAGAGCATTCAGGGATGCGCACATACTACTTTAGTGCAGATACTCAAGAAGACATGAATGACTGGATCGATGCTATGAATCAAGCTGCTCTTATGCAAATCCATTTTTCACCAAAGAGGCAAGTTCGTGTGTGTGTGTGTGTGTGTGTGTGTGTGTGTATGCATATTTATAACGAATGATATCTTTTCAGTCATACTTAAAAAACATTGTTTTTTTAAATAAAGTCCTCTCTGACTTTTAATATGAAGGTATTAGATGTCATTGCCACCTGCAGAAGCTCATTTATTTATTTACAATAATGAGCAATAATAATTTCTGTTCTGAAAATCTTGCCAAGAAAACTGCAAGGACTAGTTCAGGATCTCACCAGGGGTCAATATTGACTTGTAGGCAAAATATAAATTAAATATAAATATTTAAAACTTCACACAAGTCTGCCTATAATTAAAAATTTCTCCCATAGTTCTTTCTCTAATGTTGCATTAAATTTTTTGTAATTACTGTATCTGAAAGGATTTCTGTAATAGTGTGAGATAATTATTAAAAGGTAAAGATTGTAAAAATAAATAATTATTAGAAAAGACTGAGTTTGGAATAAATGGGAGAACAGCAGAAAACTTGAATAAATGTTTATTGAATTAATTGTATTGTCAAGGTAAATTTCATATCAAAAGTTTTTTTCTTAGAATCTTTCATAATCAGAAATATATTTGAATGGGACTATTTGTACAAAGCATTTAACAGATGTTTTAAGTAATATGTATTTGAGGGGTCCTTGGTGCTCTCTGAGCTTGCTTGTTTTCTTGCAGATGTTTCATTATCCAAACTAGGCGTCATCATCAGTACTAGTGGACTGATGGACTAGCATTGATGATGTTGCCTAGTTTGGATAATGAAACATCTGCAAGAAAACAAGTCATCCAGGGAGTGTCAAGGACTCCTCATGTCTACCCTGAGTTACAATTATTATCCTTTATTAGTACGTATGTATTTTCATTTAAAATGCTCTCTCAAGCCATTTACAAATTGTTTAAAATAGATGTTTAAGTTGTTGTAGCTCAGCTACTATGATACTAACAATGTGAATTCCAGAGACTGCAGGACTCTATAGTTTCTGTGAATTGGTAAGAATCATATTCATTTGGTAAAACAAAATACCACAGGCATAGGGAGTATTTTAGTTTTTCTTATTGTTTAGAAACCCTTTATCTGAAATTTTCATAGGATCATAGATAAGTGATAACAGGCTGCAGAAAGATAAGAACTTTTATTTACTGGGTGGAAAACAAGCCCTATGTACATTCACATATTACTTTTTGACTACATAAGCATTCTCCTTTTGATAAAATAAAATATAAAAAGAGAGGAGTTTTTCAATAATTGAGAGGAAAGGCTACATTTTATAACATGTTAATTATTCTAGACCAGGTATGTCAAACTGGCGGCCAACGGAACGGATGCATTGCAATTAGCAAAGTTACAAGTGAATTTGAGACTTCTAAAACTTATATAAAACAATTGTAAACATTTCAAAAACCCTATTTTGATACAAGACTGTCAGTTTCATGAGATTTTGAGTGGGTTTAAAGGTGAGGAATTAAAAAGCCTGGGATCAGAAAGTATTAATAGCCTCTGCAATAAAACAAAAACTGTTCAATTAAATTATAAAATCTGAGCAAACATAAGTGATTCAAAATACTGTGCTGACTTTAGTGTCTGTGGATTTCTTTTTTCTTAGAGGAACAGGAAAAACAGATCAGCAAGCTGTCCCTCAAGCTAATCATATTGATGCCTACAAAGAAGTTACAAAGTTAGAATCTGCTGAGGCAAAAAGAGTCTACAGAAAATCACCCGAAATGTCTGCATATGGCAAACATGAAGAAATAAAAAAAGTAAGAGATGATGAACACTACACTGCAAGGAAGAATGCTGTGGATTCCAGATGGGAGAAACCCAAACATCTATTAGAACCTGGTGGAACACTGAATCCTGCATCAAGTTTCTCTCGGCCTCAAGCAACTCAGACTCTTGAGAAGAATGGAATGCCTCCAAGTTCATTAAATGCAGGTCCAGTAGAGCAGAATTGTATCAGTGTCTATAAAAGAGGCTTTATTCCCAGATCAACACAAAATAAGGAGACACAAAGGAAAAGTAATATGACTCATGTAGAACATTGGGTAAAAGTCCAGAAAGGAGACCCAAAAAGGTTAGTAAGCATTTTACTGTTTTAAAGTAGAGGTTTGGTACTTTTCTTGACTCCCTCAGTTTAACAGATTTAACAGATAATCAGAGTTGGAAGGGACCTTATAGGTCATCTAGTCCAACCCCGCCACCCAAGCGGGACACCCTACACCATTTCTGACAAATGGCAGTCCAATCTCTTCTTGAAGGTATCAAGTGATGGTGCTCCTACAACTTCCGAGGACAAGCTATTCCATTGGTTGATTGTTCTCACTGTCAGAAAGTTTCTCCTTATTTCCAGGTTAAATCTCTCCTTGTTCAGCGTCCATCCATTATTCCTTGTCTGGCCTTCAACTGCTTTAGAAAATAGCTTGAATCCTTCATCTCTGTGGCAGCCCCTCAAATATTGGAAGACCACTATCATGTCTCCCCTGGTCCTTCTCTTCACCAGACTAGCCAAGCCCAGTTCCTGCAACTGTTCGTTGTATGTTTTAGCCTCCAGTCCCCTAATCATCCTGGTTGCTCTTCTCTGTACTTTTTCTAGAGTCTCAACATCTTTTTTATAATGTGGTGACCAGAACTGGGTGCAGTACTCTAGGTGTGGTCTTACTAAGGCTTTATAGAGTGGTATTAGTATCTCACTTGATCTTGATTGTATCCCTCTGTTCATGCAATTTAGGATTGCATTAGCTTTTTTGGCTGCTGCTGCACACTGCTGGCTCCTATTTAGCTGGTTGTCCACTAAGACTCCAAGATCCCTCTCACAGTTACTGCTATTGAGCCTGGTTTCACCCAGTCTATATGTATACTTTTGGTATTTCTTGCCTAAGTGCAGGACTTTACTTTTCTCTACATTGAATTTTATTTTGTTAGATATGGCCCAGTGTTCTAGTCTGTCAGGATCCATCTGGATCTTGAGCCTATCTTCTTGGGTGTTAGCTATTCCTGCCAGCTTAGTATCATCTGCAACTTTTGGTAAGTTCCCCTTCTATTCCCTCATCTAAATCGTTCATGAAGATATTGAAGAGTACCGGGCCTAAGACGGAACCTTGTAGCACCCCACTGCTTACTTCCCTCCATGTAGACTTAGACCCATTAAGGACTATTCGTTAAGTATGGTTTGCTAATTTTCCTGATTTCCTAATTTTCTTTTCTAATACAATTATATAGGACCAGCAGCAACACAGAGCCTTTCATGAAAAAATCTTTCTTTGAATTTAGGAATTAGAATGTGCAGACCTGTGTAACCCCAGTCTATCTGAGCATGATATATATTCATACATTTAATTTGTCTGGGTTTCCCCCCACCCCCCCACCCCAAATAGTTTTAAAAAGAACAATTCAGAGCAGTAAAGGTTAAGATAGATTTCGGATGCAAATTCTTCAGAAAGGAAAGGAAAGTGGTAGTGGTAGGAAATACCTATAAAACTAGATTGGGCATCACATATAGAGAAAGTGATTTTTTTTTATATTATGAAGTCTAGAAAACTGGATGGGAGGAAGAAGTTTCTAAAGGGTTGAATAATCAGAACTATGAAAGTTTCCAGTCTCCTATCTAACTGTTCATCAAGGATCTCACAGATTGAACAATTACTGAAAAAAGAAGGTTCTCTTTTACCTCTTCAATCCATTTTGGCTTTGTATATTTTATAGCTTGTGTAGATCATAACTTCGGTCTAAAATTTAGATTTGTGTTTATTGAGGCAGTCAATAATTTTGTCCCTTCTTATTTATATTCTTCTATAACTTCATTTTGGGCAAGATATCATGCTTGTCACTCTTAATCACTGTATAGTGTTGATTGCAGTTAGGTTTTACAAAGCCTTCCTTGACTTCTTGAGACGTAAGATCAATATTTTTCTCTGAAAACATGACAGAAATTTAGCCAACTATTAATTGTGCAAAGGGTTATATATAAAGACTATATAAATTTATGACTTGTCATACTTCTAATTTTTTTGTCTTGAACTATAAGCAATAACTCACATGAAGCCAAGTAATGAAATTATATATTTACAATTCAACAGCAACTTCAATTACTTTCTTCATTTTTGGTGAACATTATATTTCAGAAATAGCTTCTACAGGATAAGATCAATGTAAAATAAATATATATACATAAGAGGCCTTTCTCCACACTTAAATTCAGTGTATTTATACTGATTATTAAGCTCTGAAATGTCTTTTTTTCAACTTGAGTTGATGAAATATTTTGTTGAATGGTATACTCCATTACCTAGTGGTAAGTGTTCCTGGTGAATGAATACAAAATTGTAGTGACATCTAACAAATTTGTTGTAGTTACATTTAAAAAATAATAATGGAGGGACTTCCTATAAACATTGTTTTCCATGGATTATATACACTGACCCACTGTTATCTATATTCTAAAATTTGCAAAAATCTGTCTACCAAAATCTGTTCTAAATTTCAATTTTGCATATGTTTTTCATAAGAGTTCCTTTTTGCTTAATCCCTAACAAAGCCACTTTCTTACAGTTTTGCATCTGACCAGACTCTCACTCGCCAAGTACCAAGCCATTCTGTATCCTTTCCTGAAAATTATCATACTTTGCCAAAGAATACTAGGCAATCTTCTGGAAGCTCCCCTCCCTCAAATCGTGATTTGCCAAGTGACTACAAATACGCTCAAGATCGGGTAAGCCACCTGAAGATGTCGCATGACGAGAGGAAAGCTAACAAAGATGGTACTGTTTGGCAGCTGTATGAATGGCAACAAAGAAGGCAGTTTAAACATGGGAGCCCAACTGCATCTGTTTATATTAGTTCTCCAGATTTTACAGATAGCAGTAAGGGAAGAAGTTCATTAGAAGTTCCACGTTCAGTTTCGGTTCCTCCTTCCCCATCTGAAATACCTCCACCAGGACCACCTAAAGTTTTTATATCACGAAGACCGCATACACCTGCAGAAAGGGTTACTGTCAAACCATCTGAGGAGAGACAAACAATAGACGTTCCTGTTGTTGGCTCACCAAGGAAGATTCGAAACCAGGGTGCAAAAGTGAGTAAATAGAAGAAAAACTGTTTTTAATAGTTTACTAATCAGTTAATTTAAATTAAATTACCATGCTACATAATCTGCAGATTATCTGATAATTGGGTGTATGTTATCTATTGCCACTTTCTTATTAAGGTCAGATCATGTAGCATGTGGCTAATTTTAGGTTTAGAGAAATTAGATTCATGGGATGTGGGCTTTAATTGCTCATTAGCCTAAAGTTATCTGAACAGGAACTGGATATTGTCACTTCTTGAGAGTCAAAAGGGTGAGCGCATTGCACGATTATAAGTATGTTACATCTTGTTAATTTCAGTGAATTGTCCATGTGTAAACTTTTGAAAATATAGCTCATTGAATCAAGCTTTTAGAACAAAAATATTTGTTATTAAGCAAAAAGTTTCCACTGTGAAAATGCCACTTTGTAAAAAGATGTAATACTCATATACAAAGATAGAAAAAGTGCATATGTTTTAAAATAACATGTGTTAATTAACAAATTAATATTTACTTGTTTAGGAAGAAAGTTGTATAAATCAGTCCAGGACACAAAAGCTAGGAACTCTAAAGTATAAAAGAATAGAGAAATATTTTTCCCACTTGAAATATATCTTTAATGCTACTTTTCAATTTATACAGAACTCTCTACACATAGATAGACGTTCCATGCCTACAATGGGATATATGACCCATACTGTAAGTGCTCCAAGTTTGCATGGGAAATCGGTAAGCATTGGCTATATATGTGTCCTTGTCTATGTACTGGTAGATTCTGATAGAACTTCTAAGGTTGTCTGAATCTTTATTGACTTTTCATGTCATGTTTATGGAATGAAGTAATTTGAACTTAATGTGTCATTAATGGTGCCCTTTTTCATTGCTACTGGATTCTTAAGCAGAACTGTAAATAGAATTCCAGTAGAGGGATTGGCCCTATTTTGTGCATTGTGACATAGATTTTTAGCCTTCAAGCAAAAGTAGAAAAATATAACTGCTCGGTCATGTCAGATAAACATTTTTATTGGCATGTTAAGTAAATATTTTTAACTGTGGTGACTCTCCCTGAAAACTGCTAATTTCCTCTTTGCAATGTGTCCAAATACCTGCAGCCTGAAGAGCTAACATTGCTTCTCATTCGATTAAGGAGACATCAGGCTAAGTTGGCTCATATACGAAATTACACAATCGCCCAATTACTACAGCACTTGCCAACCAATTCCACTTATCAGGTCAGCTGCTGATTGGCTCATCTGTGCTGTATATGATGTTCTGTGACTCTGCAAGTGCTTTACTGGTGCCGTGCTTGAGTCCGTGCTTCCTTGCCCATTCTTCCGTCTGTTCAAGTCCCTGGATCATTCATAATTTTACTTTGCTCCCGCGTGCAAATAATTATCAACATTTTTATACTATAGGGGCTGTGGCATATGAGTAACTGCATTTTGGTTATTGTTTTGCTTCGGTGTTACTTTTGTGAATGCTGCATTACGTTCTAAACCAAAACCTATTTAAAAAGTAAATTATTGTTTTATTGTTTCATCTGTTTTGACTTTAAAAAAAAGTAAGCCTTTCTGATAATTTACAGTGGAAACCATCATTTATCACATCCTACTTTTTCTCTCTCCCTCAGTTATGTATTTTAACAGTGAGGGAAGATCTAAATACACCAGGATAGTTATATATGGTACTTATCTGAAAGGATGGTGGCCCTGAATTATAAAAAAATCCCACCAAAAGCGAGAGTGCAGGTTGTCCTTGACTTAATGACCATTTAATTTGCTACCATTCAAAGTTGCAACAGCACTGAAAAAAATGATTTATAGTCAATCATTGCACTTACGACTGTCACAGCATCCTCATGATCATGTGACTAAAATTTGAGTGCTTGGCAACCAGCATATATTTACAGCCATAGCAATGTCTTGGGGTTGCATGGGATTGCCTTTTGCAACCTTTCCAGCTGGCTTTGGACAAAATGGGGGAAGCCACATTCACTTAACGATTGTGACAAAAATGGTTGTAAAATTGGGCAACAGTGATGGTCACCAGACTGTTTTGTTTAGCAACCTGAAATTCTGGTTATAAATTGTGACCAGTGATGGTCACTTAACTGTTTTGTTTAGCAACCTGAAATTCTGGTTATAAATTGAGGACTGATTGTAGGCATATTATGCACCCAGGCATAACCTTTCCGAGTATCCAACTTCTTTAGTATGTCAATCTGAGGTGGCCAGTGCTAATCTTAGAGGTTGAGGCTAATCTTAGAGGTTTCCCGTTACCAATGTATGGATCTCATACATACACATTATACTCATACAAACAGACACACACGTGTGTGTGTATGTCTGTATGATGTATGTACACACATGTGTGTATCTGCCCGAAGCCACACTCAAAAAATATATTAATTAACCTAATAACTTAATAGAAATATTTTCCTATAAGAGAAGCTACCAAATTAACAAAGTTAATTGATTGTCATTCATTTACATCATAAATGTAAAATGACCGATTTATAATATTTATTTGGGGAAAAAAACTTTTATTTTCATCTTGGATACATATGGTATATTGCAGAATTATGTCATTTCTTCATGCATATATTGGTGGTTCTTTTGCATCAGAAACCAATTGCAATTTAACACAGAGGGGTTTTCATAAGAGTTTCACATAGTTGCTATTTATGTAAAGCAAGGAATGTCAGTTTGAAGTTTGGACTAATTAAATTATACAGAAAACGTCAGTCATCTTTTATAATTACTTTTAGAGCTGTACAATGCTTTAGTTTCATTTTAGATATGGCCTCATTACATTTCCCCCACTTCAAATGTCCAAGAGGATTCTCCTTCCTAGCTTATTATATATATGGTTACCATTCCTACTTTCTGTTGGGAACTATCTAGAATATAATTTGGATATTTTCTTGGGGCAGGCTTGGTCCTACGTTGGCATTATTCTGAAAGACATCTTCCCTCCTTTTGCTTTTCACTTTTCTATGGAATTTTTTTTTCCTATCAGAAACTAAGCTAACTCCTAGTCTCAATTTCTACTTATCAGCTAACCAGAACAAAATGTCTATTTGGCTTGCAGGGTGGCTCTGTTTCAAGACGTTAATGAGCAACAGTGATGGTCACCAGACTGTCCATTTTTAATATGCTCAGACAGTCACTCAGTTCTTTTGGTTTCATATTATAAAATTAACCTGAGGGAAAACATATGCTTTAAATAATGAACGTGGTTAAAAATGATGGCTGTGGTGTCACTTGATGAATTTAAGTAGTCTAACATTAAGTCTAAGTCCTAAAAGTAACATTTTTAAAAATAATGTCAGATGTGTGGATTTATGCATGTTAATCAATTTGGTAGGTAACAAGTCTTTATTTTTGAGTGTTTGCTTCCACTGATTGACTTGCTCACCTCATTCAACTATAACTATCACTTGGAAAAGCTAAGAACAAACTATTCTTCCTTGCTGGATAGTTTTCATTTATGCTCAGTCAGGTCTGAGCTGCAAAACTTCAAATGATCATAAACAGCAGCAAAGAGAAACAGAAAACTCACTACTCATTGCTGCCCTATAGAGATCGTCAATATTTTTTCACACCAGATCTACCATTTGAGTATGTAGATTTTTGCAGAAGCTTATAATCATATTTGATAAGCAGGGTTTTTATTATGTAGTAAATTATATTTGACTATTTTTATATTCTTTTATTCGCAGGCTGACGATACCTACATCCAGCTGAAGAAAGACCTTGAATATTTGGATCTGAAGGTAAAACATATCCATATAAAATGTCATTCTAGTAATGTTACTTTTTTCATTTTTTCCCAGATATATTTCCTTAGTGGTTTATGTTATATGGTTGCCTTATAAATCACTTGTTAATTAAATTTATTTTGTGCATAGTTAGAATAAATTATAAATAAAATATACATGGTAAAATAACAACAAAACTCAGCCTGTTTTTTTCAGGGAGATCCAGGAAGTTCCATGCAAAAATATGAAGGTCCTTTCTCTTATCAGGAGAATGGATTTCTGGTTTGTTTGTTTTTTTAATCATTCCCCCCTCTTCAGTTGTTCCCCCTCCCTTTGAATTGGTTTTTTTGGTAGAAATACTGCAAAGAAAAGTAAGTCCAGTTGTCTAAATCCAAGCCATGGTAATTTTCTTTACAAATTAATTTTGTAATTTCCTAAGAGGACAAAATAATTACCATTCAATTAAAATTATAATTAAAATTTAAAGTTGTCATACAATCTTAAACAATTGTGCTGTAAATATAAAAACATATTTCTTTACTTATCAGCATGTAGAAAAAGGAGCAGCTGCTCTGTGCTATTTTATGTTAGAGTGGACATGTGAAAGTCATGTCTAAACATGGCTACTGATTCCTTCTAGTAGTAGAATGTTTAAACAAAACAGGAATACCCCCATCCCCTGGTCATTATTTCTAGGGGCAGGAAGACAAATTAGAAAAAAATGTGATCATATCACACAATTGCTGCAACTTAGATATATTGCCATTAGGATGCAATTATATAATCACAGCATTTTTGTGGTGATGTAACAAGATACTGGGAGTTCCACCTGTGGTTTATTCAGTGTTACTTTCATGCCAGAACCTTTGCTTTGCTTTTCCCAAGCAAGCCAATAATTGGAAGTTAAAAACAAAGCCCTGAATTCGGGTTTTGTTTATTAGAATAGAATGAACTAATCATGGAACATATAAAAAGTTAAGTAAAGCGTAGAAAAGGACACCAAATGCCATGGGGAAGAGGGTGTAGCAAAGCTTGATCCCTTTATCTGTTGGGGAATTCTGGTATTAATTTAAAGGAAAATAAAATCTGCAGAGCTTTGATGCATTTTTTTGCCAAGTGCTACCACATTTTTATGTTTTGCTGCTGAAATTCAAAAGTATGATTTATGGGGCTCTGGGGCCATAGGAATAAAGGATAAAGTAAACATCACACAAATCTTAACTATAGTAAGGTGCAAAATAAGTAAAGCAATGAACTATTAGCAAAGATAATAAGAAAATAAGTCAAAAGTATTTGTCATAAATCTCAGCAAAATGACCTTCTTACACACACACACACACACACACACACACACACACACACACAAACTAACAAACAAATAAATACATAAATAAATAAATAAAAAGCCTATATTGGTTTTAGGACATTTTGGGTTTCACCTCTGTTTTTTATTATGCCCAGAAGTATTCAGAAAGGTAATAAAACTCTTTAAGCATTAATTAGAATGGTATATTTGGTGAAGGAAGGAAGGAAGGAAGGAAAGAAGGAAGGAAAGAAGGAAGGAAGGAAGGAAAGAAGGAAGGAAGGAAGGAAGGATGAATTCCATTAAGAATCTACTACCACATTTGAAGTTTCTGTATGTGTCTCAAATAAAAACTTGCAGTAAATCATCTTGGAGGTTGCCAAGGCATAGGTTATATTTAGAAGATCATCTTTCCCCAAGAGGAAATAATATGGCACATTTTTAATGAAAAGTGTTGGCTAACCAGATACTCTATTTGGGTATCAATTTCAGGGTCAAATTTAATTGTGCTCGCAGGCTGTGAATCTGGTATCTTAAAGGAATTTCTGTCCCACTGCATTCAGACTAAATGCCATCTTAATCTGTCATATTGGATAAAATAAGGTCTTTACATCATGTGCATTTTTTAAATGGAATCCATCTGTACAGATTTTTGTTCCAGATTTTAAGATATCATTTTTACCAAGATGAAATTAGGAAGTGTCTCTGAGAAGAAGCATCCATGTATTTTTCTTGGTAACCAGGTCTGATCCTTTCTAGCTTTTCAACAGAATCCAGCATTGGCTGCATTAAAGCTACCAGACTTCACTACCTTGATAAATATTTCTGAAATGATACAAGCTCATGACTCTGTTTGGTTTTCATACAGGAAAAAGCAAACTAAAGTAAAGACTAAAAAAAAAAGTCTTCCCCTCGTAGTCCAGATTTTATTAAAATGTTTTGTATGTATTTTTATATAAGAATGGTATTCTATTTTACACTATACTTCTTTGCTTTCTGTATGACTTTAGAACATTTCTAAATTCTAAGGCTGTAGCAGCTTGGAAATCCAGGAGATAGAGGAGTATCTGAATAATAATGTTGGATGACTAAGTGAATCTTCTCATCCTTTTCAGAGGTTATATAAAAGTGAAAAATATATATTAGAATATATATTAGAATCTGTGATAGTCTAAAAGATTCTGTTAGATGTTAAGTATCTTGTAGTTTCCTTACACCACATCAAGTAGTGGAGTGGAAGTTCAAATACTTCTTTCTAGGATCTGTGTACCCCTTGGATTGGAAAGCTTTAGTTTAGATTTCTGTCTCATTCTGCATAGTTTCAATTTACCTTGGATATACATAGGAAAAATTGGGTAAGGTTGCTCAAATGTCATTTATTTTGGGTGAATAATCTGGGGCTCCATTGCAGCTATATTACATAGGTTTACTTGTATCATCCTAGTATTTTCAAAATCAAAAACAAGTAAAATTCATAAATGTTGAACAAGTTTACAACTTTAGAATTCAATAGATCACTCTGCTTGCACTTATAAAAGTTTCATATAGCTATTATAACTCTTACATGTAGGCCTTACCACATGAGTTTAGGATTTGCGTATATATTCAGAGAACAGCACAGGATAAGAGAACAAGCCTTTGTTCTTCATCTCCCTTCTTCCTGCCCCCTCAGTTTATGATTATTATTGTCATGTCCTGTTCTAAGCACATTGGGCAACACACATTCTCTACAGTTCTTGGTCCACAGCTTGAGTATCCGCATCCTTTCATTCAAGGTTGATGTTTTTTTGTGATATGCATCATGAAACTTCAGCAAGGAAAAAAAAATGATGCTTAAAAAATCATACCCTGTTCTGATTTCTCTGTTTTCATAGACTTCTGATGCCAGCTTTACCTCTATAACAAGATATCTATATGTAAATTTTGTTTGAAACAGATAAAAAATAATGGACCTCTGATCAACATGATTTACAAAGTGCTAAAGAGCTCAGCGCAAGGGTTACTATCCAGTATAAATGTAAGAGTGCCTGTAACAGAAATGTAATCATTCCATTGCTTTTCAAGCGGCCATCAGTGTTGAAATAGCTAAGCATTCACAGGTGTCTCATGACACCAGAGCTTTTTGCAAGTTGTGTGATTTGGGGAGGCTTTCTGCAATGTTATTGGCTGGCCTAATAGCGCTTAGTTTCATTTTCACATGTGTTGGGAACTAGTGGTGATTCCATTTCTACCGTTACAGAAATACAAAGCATGCTCTCGTGCTTTAATTTTGTTGCCTTCACAACAGTGTAATTTTACATGTCTCAGTATCGGATATAATTGCATTCCCACCCCACCCCACCCTCTGCGATTTAATGTGTATCCCTAGGTTTGAGAAAGGTTTTGTTGCCTGCACATTTGTTGTATTGGTTGTATCAATTATTTTCTGTTATGTCAATACTGTATGTATGTTTCAAGTTTTGCTTAATTTAGAAAGTGTTAAAATTACAAAATATTTTAAGCAAGAGTTTTAAAAACAGTACTTTATCACAATGAAAAGCATTCAGTCTAGTTATTTACAAAAGGCAATAAGCCTTCCTGTATTTGATAATCTGGCTTCCGTTTTATCAGTTTACAATGATGGAAACTTGAAGATGGAGCTGGGACAGATAGTCATGAATGGTAAATAGAAATAATAGTATTAATAATAGTATTTAAATAATAATTTCTGAATGTCCAAAGCATTTTACATACATTATCTCAGTGGTTTCAACAGACTTCTAAGGTGAGTTTAGCATTATTATGTTAGCTATATAGTTGCAATTCATAGGCAGTAATTTCTGGAGACTCAAATTAATGAGTGAGATTAATTTTGAAGTGATGATTTCTCAGCTTCCCACATATGTATTTCTTTTCTGCTTCCTGAAGAATGAATAGAATTTTAAAATCCTTTCTTTACCATAAACTCCTTCCTTGAATGAATTTATGTGATTCTGTATAATCTTAATTGAGTTATGGAAAAATGTTAGCTACAGTTTTAGAATAAAATAAAAAAACATTAAAATTATCAAAATGAAATACTCTGCAAAGTAGTGTAATATCAGAATAGAAAAAATGCAGGTAAGTTTTGTCTGACTGCATGTGTTCAAGAACTGAGAAGTATTTTCAACAGAGGCACCACTTTTATTATAAGCCTCTTGGCTTCCAAACTGATTTAAAATAACATTACATGATAATATGGTTATCCCTTTGCCAATGATTTTCTTTTTCTGTAAGCCACATATATTCTCAGGAAAATTGTTATGATAATAAGAACTTATTTATTTCAACTTATATCACTGCCCATCTCAAATATATGATTATTAAAAGCAATATTAAAACTATGTAAGAAAACAGTATAACACAATTCATAACCAATGTATAAAAACACTCAACAACGCTCAACATAACCATTGTACAAGTTTGATTGTGCATTCAGATAGCAAAGCCTAGTGACAAAGCCATGTCTTTAAGTCCATGGCTAATCTCATCTCTGGGAAGATGATGTTTCAAAGGACAGGTACCACCACATAAAAGGATCGCTACCTGAGCCCCACCCGATGGCATTTCCTAATAGACAGCTGCTGGAGCATGCAAATGTATATTGTAAATCCAAATTATATGATGTGAAAATTGGTCATATTGAATGCAATCAGTTTTAAAGGAACCTCTTAGATCTAGCATTTGCCCATAACATATATTTGGATCAGGAATGATTAGTAAAGAAAGATAGATATACAGATTAGGGCAAGTCTTGGCTCAAAAACAGTAACTGTGAGAGGGACCTTGGAGTCCTTATGAATGATCACTTAAACATGAACCAGCAGTGTGCGGCAGCAGTTAAAAATGCTAATACAATCTTGGATTGTATAAATAGAGGCATAGAATCAAGATCATATGAAGTATTAGTACCGCTTTAAAAACCCCAGTAAGACCAATTTTGATCACCATACTACAAAAATTATGTTGAGACTTTGAAAAAAGTGCAGAGAAGAGCAACTGAGGTGACCAAAGGCCTGGAGACTAAAGCATATGAAAGACGGCTGCAGGATTTGGGTTTGGCTAGTCTAAAGAAAAGAAGAATTAGGGGTGGCATGATAGCAGTATTCCAGTACTTGAGGGGCTGCCACAAAGAAGAGGGGGTCAATGGTTGGAAACTGATCAAAGAGAGAAGCAATCCGGAATTAAGGATAAATTTCCTAACATTGAGGACCATTAAACAGTGGAACAGCTTGCCTGCAGAAATCATGGGCACTCCATCACTGGAGGTTTTTAAGAAGAGTCTCTATAGACAGTCACTAATCTGAAATAGTATACGTTCTCCTGAGCAGTGGGGTGGGCTAGAAGACCTCCAAGGTCTCTTCCAGCTTATTCATTCTATTCTACATACTTTAAAAAGTCTTCAGCTGTTCCAGAAAAGCATGTCTATGGTGGACTGACATTCGAAATGAGACACAGGGAAATGTCTGAGAAAATGCCAGCCCTGAGTGAACTCAGGTAGCAGTATTTATTGAGAAAAAACACAAGCAAAAATACAGTATGCATATTCAGAAACAATGACCTCTACAGGAGATTACTTCACCAGCATGAGAACATACAATCTTGGAAAGTCCCAGATGTTACCTTACTAGGATGAGATCATACAGCCACGGAAAGTCTCATGGGAAAGTCTGGAAAGTCCCATGAGAAAGCACAACTGTGTACCTTGAACTTTTACCTATTTTCCTGTTCCTTCTAAACTTGCAGATCAAAACAGGATGAGACACTCATGAGCGAAGGTACTCCTACCCCCACCAAGAATGCCTACATATCCCTAGACCTATTGCTAGTTATTCAAAGGCCTTACAGAAAATGATAAAATGATCAATAGATTATATTACCACAATGTCTAGAAGGGGAAAACCATTTTTTTGCAGAAAAAAGGACGGGGTATTTTTGTTACTAACATTTTATGGATTCTAGATTTTTAATTTTAAATCTTTTTATTTTAGATGACGGGGCGTGATACATTCAAAGAACGACATGTGAAACCCATCAAAATTGGAGAAAGTGATATTGATGTAAGTATAAGATTTATTCTTTCTGGTCCTTGCAAAATCTCATTTTGTTTCATTGATTTGACCTTGTGTGCATATGTATTTTTATTTCTAGGTAAAGCTGAGTGTCTTCTGTGAGCAAGACAGGATTCTGCAAGATCTAGAAGACAAACTAAGAGCCCTTAAAGAAAATAAAGTAATCATCTTTGCAATTAATTACACCATTTTATTTTTGTAATATTCTGTTCGGGGGTTTCTATCTCTGAAGGCCCATTTTGATTTTGAGTATGTAGTAAGTAAAACTAGAATTAGATCTTTGTAACTATATTGTTTATGATATAATTTATTCTAATAAATTATTCCAATTTATTCCAAGCCAAAAGTAAGTAATTGTGGGAGATGACCAGGTTGAGTCCGAGGGACGAGACAAACGCATCATGAGTCTCTGAGTGCCCACAAGATATCCAAGTCCAACCCACCTTGAATTCCTTTCTATTCTTAACTCCCGCTAATTTCCCTAGATTGCTAGTCATTCAGATTCTTGTGGAGAGCTTAAATTTGCAATAAATCTTTATACTCTTTTGAACTTCCTGAATCTCCTGATTTCCCTGGTGCTTGACAGCAACATGATTACATTCAAGTTACTTATTTCATAACTTTTCTCTCATTTTAAAGATTACCAAATTCTTTTTTTTTAAATAAAAGTTTTATTTAAGTTTTCACAAAACATACAAATACAAATAAAATATCTTTTTTTGAGAACAGCATGGCCCTGGGTTATCACTTCTCCATACAGACATAAACTCAATACATATTTATCTTATACATTCTATTCCATATCTTATAACTATTTTCACAATTTTTTCAATAGCTTTTCCCTTTCTTTACTTCCTATAGCCTTATTTTAAATTATCTCATTCCTTAATTCAATTACATATCTTTTTCTGATTTTTAAAATCTTTCTAATCAATGTTTTTATACATTCGTCTGTCCTGTTTACAATTTCATATTATCTTTTCTCATAAAACATATTTTCCCCTGTAATTACTAGACTGGAGTGTAACACCTTTGTATCTTTTTCCAAATCTTGTTTAAAAATTTAAGTTACACCTCTACATTTATAACATTCATTTTCTAAACTCTATTTTATAACACATACCTATTTTCAATCGAATTCTGCTTGGTACATTCCCTTAAAAATACACACTAAATTCTTAAAAGAATATATATATATATATATATATATATATATATATATATATATATATA